CACAAGGTGCTGCGTAGCTAAAGGCTTTCTTCCCTGGTTCTGTGCGGGCAAAAGGACCAGTGAGCAACAGCTGATCGTTGGATCTCAGGGCATAAGAAGCCAAGCAGACATACAAATATTTTCCACTTTAGTTTTATTTTTTTTATATACAGTGTTTAAGACAGTATCCATTGGTCCATTAACTAACATTTGCCACATTATAAACAATAACTAAAGTGCATTTAGCTCAGGTTTTATAGATCTCTTTTAAGACATATTTTACTAATAAAAATTATAAAAGTGTATTTGTATTTTTCCTGTTTTTATTTCTCATATGCAAAACTAAAATTAAGTAAATGAGATATAATCCAATTAAGGGAATATATTCCACCTATGAGTAATTTGATATCAGTAAAAATCTACCAGTTTGCAGAGAGTTTGTAGAAGAACATTAGTGAAAGAAACGCATTATGAAGATAGCAGATGCATATTTTAACCAGAGGTTTTGCAAGTCGCATCATTTGTTAGTTTTTTATTCTAAAATATTTTCATTTGCCTCTTGTCTTATTTAAAGCTGTTACTTTATTTTACCCTTTGTTTTGTCCTTTATTGTTTCTTAGATATTGTTACCCTGTTTTCCTCCAGTTCCCAGTTTCTGCATTAAATCCTCTCTTCTTTATGCGCCTTCCGACATCTGCTTACAACTTTAGTCGTTCACCTCAATAAACCATGACATGAGGATTTTTTAACCTAACCTAACCAAATTGTTTGCACATAAAAAAACAAAACAACAAATGGCAATCAGAGGAAACCTATCAACACATCTGGTTCACTGATGCAAAGCTAGAACTATAAATCACAGGATTCTAGGTTGTTCTGAGACTTATTTCATCCCTACTGTATGCACCTTGTTTCAATGTTTTTATGAGTCTTTAGCTTTAAAATAAAAATTTAACAGTTGTGAAAAAAATATTTCACAAAATATTACTGATAAGGAATCATAACATTTTAACCTGGTCTTAAAAGAGTGTATACTTCAAAGAAAAGCAACTTCTGGTCAGAAGCCTAAAAAATAAAAGTCCAGGACCTTACAAAGAGGGTTAAGAATAAAAGTAGGACTTTGCAACATTAATTTAGGAAAAAGTGTAGTATTTAGAGTATTTTTGGGGGGGATTTTTACCCTGGTAAAGGCTGGTACACTGAGACCCCACACATGACCATAAAAACAATTCAGGGGTCAGAACCGTTTTGGTCGTACAGTGTGTCCTCTCCAGCTACACCACAAGCCCAGTGCAATAAACACAAACTGATTTTGACACTTGACCAACATCGAAGTGTAGAGGGGCATCTGACAAATGTTGCCAGATGCAAATGAGAAAGTTGCTTTGCTTTATGTCCTTTGATAATTCCTAAAAAAAAAGGCAATATTAAGATGCCTTTAAGCCAGGAAGTACACCTACATATATTTCTTATTCTGTTGTTGCTCTGAGCAACAAATCACGGCACACATGTGAGCTCCAGCACCCAGTGACAGCTCCCTCTAATGGGCCAAGCTCATGGGGACTTCTATGGGTCTTACACACCGTCGCTCAAAACCTGTCTGCTCAGCTTTGAGAATGCGTGCTCAACAATGTTTCTGCTCACGCTCGGCTTTATCTCTGCACAGGCTGGGCCTAAGTCCTACTTCAAGTGAGGCATGGCTCACCTGTCCTGTGTTTTCGTCTTCAGTATAATACTTCTGTACTTCTTTGAGTCCGATCCTGCAGCTCTCAATAGTCCTTGCTGCCACCCTCTGGTTTAGATTGGAACTGCTTGTTCTGCTACATAATGATAAAGAATCTTTTTAAAAAATCCTGCATCTGGATCATGACCACATTAGTGAGTTGTTCCTTGGGCTAAGGAGCACCATACTTTAAAAATTTCATTAAAAGCTGTTCATAACTTTTCAAGATATCCTGTACACAGACAGGAAGTCACACACACAAACTCGACCAAGAACATAACCTCCTTGGCGCAGGTAATAAAACATTTAGGTTTTAACTAGGGCTTAAACATTTAATCAGATTAATTGATTATTGAAATAATCATCAACTAATTTAGCATATAAACAAAATTTTATTTAAATATATAAAAAAAATTTTTTGGGGCTGCTCAGTGGCGCAGTGGTTAGCAATGCTGCCTTACAGCAAGAAGGTTCTGGGTTTGATTCCTGGCCTGGGGTCTTTCTGCATGGAGTTTGCATGTTCTCCCTGAGCATACATGGGTTCTCTCTGGGTACTCTGGCTTCCTCCCACAGTCCAAAAAACATGACTGTTAGGTTAATTGGCTTCTCTAGATTCTCCTTAGGTGTGAGTGTGTGCGTGAATGGTTGAATGTCCTGTTTGTCTCTGTGTTGCCCTGCGATGGACTGGCGACCTGTCCAGGGTGTACCCCGCCTCTCGCCCATTGACTGCTGGAGATAGGCACCAGCACCCCTCGCGACCCCAATTGGGAGAAGTGTGTTAGATAATGGAGGGATGGATGGATGGATATAAACATTTTGCATTTAAGATAAAAAAAGAAAACATTTGTCTATCAATATGCTCTATTCAGAACCCCTCAAGTGGAAAAGTTTGATTTTCACCTGGTTTAATTTCGTCAAAAGTCTTCTATAGTAATCTTTGGCTATTGGATTGATTAATCAAAAAATAATAAACAGATTAATCGATTTTGCAAAATAATCATTAGTTGCGCCCTAGTGTAAAAAATTTATTACAGTCGAATGTTTTATTTTATCTTGAATCCTACAGTTTGGTTTCGTAATCCCTGTGAGTTTAAAAGCAATAATCGCTAAACTGCCCTTCTCTATATTTGCAGTCCTTGCAATGCTAATATAAACGTAATATTTGATGGGTCAAAATATCAAATGCTTCTTTTAAAACTGTATCATATAAAAAAAATGTTGAGAAGTAAAACTGTGTAAACCAGGATTTTCACAAACAGACAAAATTGATGCCTTGGCATATTGAATTAAGACATGGTTGCCTTTATTTCTTTTTATTTAAATGTTATTTCTTATCTCTATTGCATAGCAAAGAGAACGATTAAATGTTGCTTAAAGCTGCTCACAATCGTTGGTACTGTGCTCTTTCCTGTCATGCACTCAAAAATGCTTGTTTCTTTCGTCTGTGGTGCTGATGGTACCTTTTCTCCAAAAGATTAGAAATGTTATTTAAAAAGGATATATTAATGTCTACAATTTTAAAACTGTCAAAAAAACATTTTCCCAAAGACAGTCTTTAATATACCGTGAGTTGTAGACATTTTAACTTTCCAACTTTAAATACAAGCAGACAAAAATCACAATTGAAAATGTGTTACACAAAATGGGCATCAATTAGATTTACACAGCTGGTCTCTGTTGTTATTTCTCCAGAGATAAGCTTCCCATTTGCAGTTTAATAAACGAAAAGCGAAGCGAGAGCGCTAACACAGGTAATGTGCTGCAGTAAATAAATGGCCATTGAACAGGGGGAGTTGACATTTAGATAAATGTGGCTTTAGAATATAAACAAATAATGATTGTATCCAGTAGCACTGGGCATGTACAATTACACAGCATCAGAACTGTACATTTGTAAGAAAGTGGGCACACACTCCAGCTGAGTATGTCCTTCTGGCTGCCTAGACAGCATGTTTTGTTTTGTGGTTTTCCTGCTCATAACCAACAGCCTATTTTACACCCCATTATCTAATGATGTAGATGGAATTTTAATGAGTGTAATCAATATCTCATGACCATGTAGTAACAGGCCTTTATAAGATACATAAATTCTCACACATACACTCATAACCACGCAGATTACTGTATTTCTTAGCCTCTGGCTAACTTTCTGTAACATTTCAACCTATTTTTCAATGACGCACTCAATACATCCATTCAGCACCGTATCTGTTGCATAAATACACTCTAAAATCGCAACAATACAATTAAACATTTACTACTAAAAGCATGAAATTGCTCATAATGTTCAGAAGATAATCAGGTCATTGGGTGTGTGTTTGTGTGAGTGCTCTAACAAACTTGGTAGTGTCAGATCATGGCACGGGGCGATACTTCTGGTTCTGTGTCATTTCTGGTTACTGTAGAGCTTTAAGTCTTAATGCTGACTCTTCAGGCGTCCTCTGTTCAGTAGGCATGGTATAAAGGAAATAACGCTGTCACTGAAACAGTGTGCAATGGGATTATGAAAGGACAGCAGCTCAGACTCTAGTTGATGTCTGATCAATCTGGAGAGCAAAGAGATTTGATGTCAGCTACCTCTGAGATTAATACATTCCTCAAATGAATATACTTCTTACGCAGGTGACGACATGTAAGAAAAGAATACCTAGGAATCATCTTACTATACAATTAGCGGTGCATTTTAAAAATTGTAAATGGCCTGTACTTATATAGTGCTTTTTCAAGTAAGAACACTTGACCAAAGAGCTTTACACTACATTCAGTCATTCACACATTCACGCAAACACTCACGTTGATGCTGTCAAGATACACTGTAGCCACAGCTGCCACCGGCCCCTCTGCCCACCATCAGTAGGCAATGCATGGGAAGTGTCTTGCCCAAGGGGAGGATGACATTTAAAAACCAGAGCCAGTGGTTGAACTGCATCAGTTCAACCCTCCAGTTGCAGGGCAACCTCATGCATACAACGCCCCCGTCACCCCACAATTTGCGGCGACAGTTCGAGTACCATGGATCTGTCAGAGATTCGTTGGACATGTCCAAATGCTTTTATCACTTCACTTCACACAGTGTGTACTATATGTTTGTGGCACTGCTAATGAAAGAATGCAATGCAACTAAAATACTGTTAGATACCTTTACACCTCATGCAAAGTTTTTTCTATGCCTTTTACTCACATCGGCATGCAGGATGCTTGAAACCAAAATTGGGACCACCTCAATCTGTTTCACTTCTCTATAATGTGATGTACAAAAATGTGCTGTTGAATTTATTTCCTTTTTTTTATGTTGTAGAGACAAGGATCCGGGCCAGCTGCTGGCAACAAGACGACCTCTGGAGGAAAAGGTAAAAAAAAAGAATCAGATGTACAATCTCTTACTTTGTTCTCGTAGGTAACAAAAAAAGAACTGCCATATGCTTTAAGTAATGATAAAAAGAAGGAGCACAACTAAATTGGCAGTAAGTAGTCTGCAGTTTGTTGTATATTACAGCTCATATTACAAAATGACTGATGGAGCTGAAGAAGTAAACACACAACCCCTTTCTGTCAGATCAACCCGTGTTACAAGATATTGAGATGTAATATTCATTTTAATTCGGTCTAAGAACATAATTTAAACATGGTAATATAATGTACTGATGAAATGCTTCCTAATAGATTATGTTTGTATGAGCATGCCATAAGAGAAATGGAAATAAAATGATCTATATTAAATATGCAATACAAATTAGACCTATGAGGAGGTTAGACTGCCTGTACTAATCCAATTCACACAAGAATCGGCCTGGTCCTATGATAATGCCTAGTGCCATATTACAGTACAGTAAATTAATGCATTTTTAGTTGCCATAGAATAACATATTCTGCTCCATGAGTACTGCGTAGCTCACACAAGCATTGTTATTGTCTAGAACTTGACTAAATCCCCTGCAGTAGCTGTGTTTTCATTTCTATTGGCTATGATATCCCATTGGGAACTTTAGTACATCAGCCCTCAATGTGCTGCTAATTTTCATCCTAAATAAAGATTTAGCTTTTGTTTCTACACCTAAACCTGACTTGACAAATACAACTATATTCTTTAAAAATCTCCATCTTGCTTAAATTCATGATTTAGGTTTTGGAACAGTTCTTATTTCTTAAATCAAGGTCTAGGCTATCACTATCATTTTTAATCTCTGTTGTAATGATTTACTTAAGATTCAGCTTCTACTGTAATATGTTGAAATAAAGTAAGCTATGATTAAATATCTTACAGCAAAAGTTTTTCCTCCTGTGTCATTTACTTAATATTTGGACCACAACTTTATGAAATTTAGGGATTAGTGTTTTAGCTGTTTTCCACACAGTTAATCTGTAACAGCTAGAGATATCAAAGTCATATCATCTAAGCAAAGCATACAGAGCAGGTCACAGTAAGGAGCAGACATTGAGCTATGGCGGCCTGTTTTACTACCAACATTAGTGTTAAGGGTAAGAAAGAGACTGTTAGGGATGAAACCCAAACTCAACTGATGCAGTCATGCCAAAATCCTACAATACAGTTGTGCAGACCATAACATTTAAATATCGGCTCGATATAACAGTTGCCCTTACAAGCATGAAATGAGAACCCTTTGGAACTGGGTTCTATTTATTTTCATCATCTACAGTATAATATTTGATGGCCTGAACATTGTTATTAAAATCTCTGTTTATCCAGTGGAATGCTTTTTTGGCATCATATATTTATGGAATATCTGCTTGTTTCCCCAAACTCTGATCGCTATACCATAAGTTACCATAAATATGCACACAACACACACCTATATACAACTGTGCTTGAAAGTTTGCTTATCCTCCCAACTGTCATCATCTCCTGATCAGGATATTTGGTTCTTTTCCAAGTTTTCACTTTGGATTTTTAGTCACACTTTGATTTATGTAATTCTTTGTGTTTTCAAAGTCATTAGTTTCATTTCCATTTATTGTCATCTAAGTTATTTTCTAGTTATATTTAAGCACTGTTGTATTTATGAGTTACTCTGTTGCCCCCTTGTGTCAGTCTATTTTCCACTAGCTTCCTTCT